CTGCAGACTCCTGATTGCCTCCTGAACGTCCTCCAAGGAGATATCAGCATCTAATCACTCATTGTCTGTCTTGGACAATGTAGAAAAGGGGAGTGTCAAGAAAAGTTAAGAGTTCAAGGGGGGATGCTAGTCTTAGAAGCATAGAGATCCCAAAAGAATTCCAAAAAGCGGGCATTATTGAGCTACTGAGAAAATAGCAGGTGACTCCCAACATCTTTAACACCACTGATACGCTTTGAGGGATTTTGAATCTTTGCCAGTCAGGCTATCAACCTACAGTTTTTATCTCCATATTCAAACACCCTCTGAGTGGAGTACAGCAATGTCTTTTTGGTTTGATACACTACAAATAGAAAGCTGTTGCAATACTCAATACCAGGCCAAGGTATTGTTCTGATCTGAAGTAGAAACGTACTCCGCCTCCAACCTAGTCGCCTCAGTCTCCAGGGCATCCAATGAATGGGCCACCTCCTTTTGAAGAACAGATATACGTGATATACAGTAGGTAAAATAAGTATTGAACACGTCACCATTTTTTTAGGTAAATATATTCCTAAAGGTGCTATTGACATGAAATTTTCACAACGTTGGTAACAACCCATGCAAAGAAACCAAAACAAATAAGTTCAGAAATTAGGTTATGTGTAATAAAATGGAATGACACAGGGTAAAATTATTGAACACACTAACTGAAATTTACTGAATACTTCAAACAAAATCCTGTGTTGGTAGTGACAGCTTCAAGACAGCTCCTGTATGGAAAAACTAGACGCATGCACTGTTCAGGTGTGATTTTGGTCCATTCTTCCACACACACAGTCTTAAAATCCCAAAAGTTCTGCGGGCCTCTTCTGTGAACCCTGATCTCTAGTTCTTTCTATAGATTCTCTATTGCATTTAAGTCAAGTGGTTGGCCGACCCATGCTAGCAGCTTTATTTTCTTTCTTTGAAACCAATTGAGTTTCTTTGGCTTTGTATTTGGGATCATTGTCTTGCTGAAATGTCAACCCTTGTTTCATCTTCATCATCCTGATAGATGGAAGCAGATTTTTATCAAGAATGTCTTGGTACATTTTTACCATTCATGCTTTCTTCAATGATATGAAATTTGCCAGTCATGGCATCCAAAGAGTTCAATTTTGGTCTCATCTAACCAGACTATATTCTCCCAGTGTTCCACAGGCTTTTCTAAATATTGTGCAGCAAACTTTAAACGAACTTCAACATGTTTTTTTTTTCAACAATGGAGTCTTGCATGGTGAGTGTGCATAAAGGCCATGGTGGTTGAGTGCATAACATATTGTTTTCTTTGAAACAATTGTACCTGCTAATTCCAGGTCTTTCTGAAGCTCTCCACAAGTGTCCTTAGCTCTTGGACAACTCTTCTGATAATTCACTCCTCTGTCAGAAATCTTGCGAGGAGCACCTGATCATGGCTGATTTATGGTAAAATTATGTTCTTTCCATTTCCAGATTATGGCCACAACAGTGCTCATTGGAACATTCAGAAGTTTAGAAATCCTTCTGTAACCAATGCCATCATTATGTTTTGCAACAATAAGTTTGCAAAGGTCTTGAGAGAGCTCTTTGCTTTACCCATTATGAGATGTTTCTTGTGTGACTCCTTGGTAATGAGACACCTTTTTATAGGCCATCAGTTGAGACTGAACCAGCTGATATTAGTTTGCACTGACAAGGGGCAGGATTGCTGTCTAATTACTGATGGTTTTCCATGCCTTTTTGCACATCCCTTTCTTCAGGTGTTCAATACTTTCCCCTGTGTCATTCCATTTTATTACACATAACTTAACTGCTTCCCATCCGCCCTATAGCAGAAGTACTGCTACGGGGCGGCACAGGTGCGCAAAATCATGTATATATATGTGATTTTGCATTTCTGGGTACGGGGCATGCGCGTGCCCTACCCGCGCTGCCATTCGTGGCAGCCAATCATTGAGTCCTGGCCGGTGATTACTCGCAGACGCCCGGCGATTGCCGAGCATCTTTGCCGGGGGGAGAAGAACTGTTTGTTAACAAAACATTTCTCTCCCCTGTCACCTCCTGCACACCGCTTTGCATGGCTGTGCAAAGCAGTGTACTTACAGCGAACCACAAACAGCCCCACAGTAAAACACACACAGCACACAGTTAACCCTTGGATTGCCCCACATATTAACCCCTTCCTGCCCAGTGCCATTAGTACAGTGTCAGTGCTTTTTATTAGCACCAATCACTGTATTGATTTCACTGGGGATGTTAGTGACACCAAGTCAGTTCCCCCCAGTGTCAGAATGCCCGCCAAAGTCCCGCTATAAGTCTTTGATCGCCACCATTACTAGTAAAAATATTTAAAAAAAATCCCAGTATATAAACTGCCATTTGTAAACGCTATAAATTTCACGTAAACCAATTAATTTACACATATTGGGATTTTTTTTTTTTAGCCAAGACATAGCAGAATACATTTTGGCCTAAATGTATGACTAAATTAAATGTTTTACATTTTTTACAGGACATGTTTAATAGCAAAAAGTTAAAAAATATAGTTTTTTCTTCTCAAAATTGTTGGTCTTTTTTTTTTGCAGTGCAAAAAATAAAAACCGCACAGGCAATCAAATACCACTGAAAGAAATAAAAAAAGGACATAAATTTCATTTTGGTGCAGCGTTGTATAGCCACGCAATTGTCAGTTAAAGTAACGCAGCACCGTATCGCAAAAAATGGCCTGGTCAGGAAGGGGGATAAATCCTTTGGAGGGCAAGCGGTTAATTTTTTTTTTTTAGGTTTCTTTGTATGTATTGATTGCATGGGTTGTTACCAAAATTTTTAATGTCAATAGCACCTTTAGAAATATATTTACCTAGAAAAATGGTGACGCGTTCAATACTTATTTTACCTGCTGTATATTCACCCTTGACCCAAGATTTAACGTTGTCTCACAGCACCAGTGGAAAGGCAGAATCTCCACTCAACACTCAGTAATTAAGGAATTTCCTCCCACTTTCTGTTTGCCTATACTGTAGAAGTGAAGATAAATCTCTGCAATGGGACACAGATTGGGAAAAAAAAAATCTAAAAGGGGTTATAACCCTCCATTACTCTATTGAAAATGAAAAAAACAAGTTGTGCCTATAGTTCTACTTTAAATTGCAGATAATTCCACTTTTTTTACTGTTTAGATTTTCACTTTTTGCAGGCCAGGTTAGCTAGGTTAAGAATGGCAATGCCTTGCATTTTCACACAAATGTTGATTTAATGATTCATGGTTAAAAGTAGTAGTTTTATTTTTGAGCTGCTACCCATTGCCTTTGTCTATAGCAGTGTTTCTCAACTCCAGTCCTCATGGACCCCCAACAGGTCATGTTTTCAGGATTTCCATTATTTTGCACAGGTGATTTGATCAGTTTCACTGCCTTAGTAATTACCACAGCTGTTTCATCTGAGTGGGAAATCCTGAAAACATGACCTGTTGGGGATCCATGAGGACTGGAGTTGAAAACACTGGTCTATAGGATATGGTACTGCTGCCCTCTTTTGTTGGGTTTTATAAATACAACTTGTAATCCTCAATTTCCTAATTTTACAAGATTTCATTATACACATATAAAGGAGTCCTCTAAAGAATAAATAATTTACTCTGGTTTATACTATGTTACAGTTAACTGATCATGAATCTAATAACATATAGGATAATATAACATATCCAAGCAACCTCTTATCTCCACACTTACCACTTTAACCCTGCTTACATAATCCTTCCTTCACATCGGCGAGATGAAAATACTTAAAAGTTTCTTAAATTGGTCATGCCTTAATATTACACACCTTCATGAACCAAAATGCCATTAAACATATTTAACGTATATTACTTACGAATACAAAAATCTGCTATTTACAAATGAAAAATTGCTTCAACTGAACAGTAAAAACTAACTCCTGAGAAACATTCACATCCTTTAAATCCATATGTTATAAAGATAAACTCACCCCTGGCCTGCTTTCTTCTAACATCATTCAAAAACACATGGTTACCTTGAAGCAACTATTTTATATCTGTACTTTCTGGCCATTGTCCTCTCTCCATACAAACATTAATGCTAACAGGATATCCTTTGTGGGAGTGGAGCTCAGATTTAATTCTGAAACTTTTCAGGGACAATCTATAGATTAAATTGAAAATGTATCCATAACAATTTGATAAAAAATAATGTTCTTTAGCAAGGAACATACATTCCACATTAACAATTATGCTACCAATATTAGTGTGTGCTGTAAATTGCCTCCAGTATTGTCCTGTTTCTTCTCGCTGGAGGCTGCCATTTTGTGAAAGCCCAGAGCCCCCGAGCAAAAGTAAATCTTTAAGCTGTCAGCAGATTGGCCTCTACATTTCCAGCACAGTGATGAAAAATAAAGAGGGACTGAGCAGAACAGGGTGAGACTGTGTATTACTGGATTGTAAACAGTATATGCACTTATTTTTAACCACAAGCCTACAGGGCACTTGCATCCCCTTCCTGCCCAGGCCAATTTCCAGCTTTCAGCGCTGTTGCACTTTGAATGACAATTGCGCGGTCATACAACACTGTACTCATATGAAATCTGTATCTTTTTTTGTGACAGATTGAGCTTTATTTTGGTGGTATTTAATCAACTCTGGGTTTTTTATTTTTTCTTAAACAAACCAAAAAGCACTGAAAATTTTGAAAAAAAAATGTTTTTTCTTAGTTTTTGTTATAAAAATTTGTAAATAAATGATTTTTCTCCTTCACTGATGTGCGCTAATGAGGCTGCAGTGATGGGCACTGATAGGCTGCACTGATGGACACTGATGAGGAGGCACTGGTAGGTGGCACTGATGGGCATTGACAGGCATCACTGATTGGCACTGAAAGGCAGCACTGATATATGGCATTGATAGGCGGCACTGACTGGTACTGATAGGTGGTACTGACTGGCACTGATGGCACTGTTAGGCGGCACTGACTGGCACTGTAAGTGGCACTGGCTGGCACTGGTAAGTGGCACTGATTGGCAGCACTGATAGGTGACACTAACTGATTGATATATGTGCACTGACTGGCACTGATGGGTGACACTGAAAGGCAGCTCAGATGGGCACTGATATGTGGCATTGATGTGCACTGGTAGGCACTGATATGTGGCATTGATGTGGCACTGATGGGCAATGGCACGTAGCACTGATGAGCACTGACAGCTGCCACTGATGGACACTGACAGGTGGCACTGCTGGGGGCTACACTGATCATCAGGGCACACTGATCATCACTGATCATCAGTGTACATGTCCCCTCCATGGAATGCTGATTACCAGCTCTCCTCTCCTCCTCTCGAGCTGTCAGCGTGAAAGCTCGAGAGGAGAGAAAAGCCGATAACCGGCATTTCTTGTTTATATGTGATCAGCTGTGATGGGAGAGGAGACACAGACACAGGGCATTGTTTCTGTGATTGCTCCCCCCTCTGCCCTGATCCCCCTACCTGACTTGCTCACAACTGCATTACCTTACTATTTGGGTCCCTGTGTGCCAGGGAGCACTACAGGAGGACTGGTGCTACCCCCCCATCAGCGACCCTGAGCAGCAGCAATCAGGACACCAGCCGGGGCTATGAGCTGGGCTCCAACGAAAAATTTGTAGTTAACAATCCCACACCAGTCCTGTTCCCTCCGGAACTCTGAGATGGACTCTGGGAGCCTGGGGGGTGGTGAGGAGGGGGAGAAGGAAGAGGTGAGGCAAGGTTCGGGTGCCTAGTTCACCTAGAGGTAGCTCCGGCTCTGCATGTAGCTGATCGAGAGTAATCTTTGGATTGAAGAAATGGAATGTAGGCTCTATGGAGAAGCTTGAATTGAGTCTCTCTCCATGTCTCATTGGCCATACCTGGTTTAAAAACACATACTGTATTGTATTAAAAGACATGACAATATTTGAACCTACGCCTTGTAAGTTACAAACTTGAATAAAGAACATTAAGCAAAAAAAAAAGGTTAAAGCAAAATTGTATTTTCTATAGAGGAACATTCATACTTCAGATCAGCCCCCTTTTATCTACTTTTCAGACCCCTGATCAGCCCCTCTTTAAACCTCTAGTCAGCCTCCTTTATTATACTTTTCAGATTCCCAATCAGCCCCTCTTCAGACCCTAGCTCAGCCACCTTTAATCTACCTTTAGACCTTGTTCACAAACCAGGCCTCAATCTAGTTTTCAAACCTCCGATCAGCCCCTCTTCACCACTTGAAGAACAACCAGTTTCATCCCCTTCCAGTCCAGGCCATTTTACAGTTTTCAGTGCTATGACACTTTAAAAAACAATTATGCAGTCATGCAATACTGTACCCAAATACATTTTATATCATTTTTTTAAACAAACAGAGCTTATTTTTGGTGGTATTTAATCACCACTGTTTTTACTTTTTAATATATAAAGGAAAAAAAAATTAAAAATAAAGTTTCTGTTATAAACATATGCAAAAAGGAACAAAGGCGTAAAGAACTTTAAAGGTGCTTGTATACCCTTAGGATAGAAAACTTTGACACACTAAATGTATAAAAAAAATGGAAATTTATTACACATAGTAAAATGGAACATACATACCTTCCCATAAATATCAGGTACGAAAATGAACCCTTCAGTACAGTGAACCCCATTTCACACCTTCCCTCTTCTAACAATACCCAACCATGACCAAAAGGTCACCAGTGTATCAAGCATAAATATGAGAAGATAGTAAATCCCAACATGTTTCACTAAGTTGGCTTCTTCAGGGGTTCAGAGGAGGGGAAAACCCTGTGAAGGGATCATGAAATACAGTATATTTCAATACTAATTCTTTTCTTCACATCGGAGTCTAGATGACAACACAGGTTACCCTTGTTATAACCTACATTAATTTATATAGTTATATATGTGTCAGGTAATCTGGCGCTAGCTGATGCTGGCTAGGAGGGACACTAACTGACTAACTGATATCAATAGTGATTAGTGCTAATACTGTACATTGTCACTTTATTAATGACACTGGCTGAGAAGGGGTTATAATCTAGGGGCAATCAAGAGGTTAATTGTGAGCCTAACAATGTGTAATGCTGCTATTTACTTGCAGGTCTTGCTGTTTTTTTCTCCCTGCTTTTCAAGGAGATGAAATAGCAAGATTGCTCTTCTGTTTACACAGAGTCCTGTGTGCTTGTCAACACAAGACTTTGGGCTGTGATTGGACACAGTCAATCAACAGGTTTCAGACAAAATCATTGGCTGAAACCTGCTGACAAAATCGTGCTGTAATTGGGTTGGCAGGAGGCATGTGTGCGCCCACAGACCCGGAAAAGCCAGTCACATATACAGTGGGTATAGAAAAGAATCACCCCCCTTTAAAATAATCACTTTTTGTTGCTTTGCAGCTGGAAATGAAGATAGACACAGTTTTTGTTTTATCCAGCTGTATTTACTCAGTGCAACTATATACACCAATATGCCAGAAAAAACATTTTTAAAAAATTCAAAAACAGAATCACTGAGTTGGGAAAAGAAGAACCCTTTTGTGTCAGTATTTTGTTGAACCACCTTTTGCTTTAATTACAGCCTTTAGTCTGTTGGGATATATCTTTACTAACTGCACACCTAGACTTTGCAATATTTGCACATTCTTCTTTGCAGAACTGCTCAAGTTCAGGTAATTTTGATGGTGACCCTTTGTGGACTGCAGTCTTCAAGTCATTCCACAGATTTTCAATGAGGTTTAAGTCTGGGCTCTGGCTAGGCCATGCAAGGACATTCACCTTTTTCTCGTTCATCCACTGTGTGGTCATTTTTGTTATGTGCTTTGGGTCATTCTCATGTTGGAAGGTAAACCTTCTTTCCATTGACAACTTTATGGCAAAGGATAGCAGATTTGCCTAAAAAATTTGATGGTATTTTGTTCTGTCCATTTTTTCCTTCTATCCTGACAAGTTCTTCAGTCCCTGCTGCAGATAAATTCCCCATAACAGGATATTACCACCTCCATGTTTTACTGTAGGAATAATGGTAATGGGATGGTGAGCTGTATTGGATTCCACCAGAATTGTTTAGCGTTGAGGCCAAATAATTAAATTTTGGTCTCATCTGACCAAACCTCCTTTGTGGCCTCAGAATCTTCAAGATGCAAAGCTCATTCATGAGTGCATATGGCATTTCTTGAGGAGTGGCTTTTTTCTTGCAACCCTCCCATACAGGCCACATTTGTGGAGAATATGTGATATTGTTGTCACATGCACACCATGACCACTCTTTGTCATAAATTCCTGCAACTGCTTCAGAGTTGCTGTAGGCCTCTTGTTAGCCTCTCTGACCAGTTTGCTCCTGGCTCTTTCATCCAGTTTGGAGCGACGTCCTGATCCAGGGAGGGTCTGTGTTGTACCAAATACCTTCCACTTCTAATAATAGACTTCACTGTGCTTCTAGGCATTGATTTTTTTTTTTTTTTTTTGTATCCCAGAGATCTTTTGACATTGCCTTGCCACCCATAGTTGATTGTTTGCTTCAGATGAACTACTAGGGACTGACACGCTCCATAAAAGTTCTTTTCATGCTGAGCTAATCAAAATGACCAAAGCTGATCACAGTTAAAAGCCAAATGGCTTAATGTGCCACTGAGAAGGTGATTAGCTACACCTGTTTGAATTTAGATGTAATTTTTTGGGAGGGGTTGATCTATTTTCCAACTCAGTGATTCTGTTTTTGAATTTTTTTAATTGCACAGCCAGGCAACATGCATTTTCCACACTTTCATCCAAAGTCAGTAAACAGTCTATGAGCTTGGTTTTTGTTGTTTTATTAGGGGTTAACAACTTGGATGTGGTCTAGGGGTGTATGGAATCCCCAATGAAACTGACAGAACGTGGACGACAAAAATGGCAAATAGCACAAAAATGGATCCTAGGCTTTCTACTCCTTCAGGAGTGGCACTTCCCTTTTGATAGATTAGCACACAGTTTTTGCAAGGAGCCCTTGGTCCCCTTAAAATGAACCTCCTCAGACTCCAGATGAAAATCCTATCCACCTGGTTGTGTTTAGAATATCCTAGAGCAAGGGATTCTAAGTGTTGTCCCAGGGAGAACTACTTGGGTATTGCACCTGACTGCCCTTTCACTTCTTTGGCACAGGGGGGTGTAGAAGTATTCGCTCTGTCCTGTTCCTGTAGCTTAATGGGTTGTAGCTGCTTTCAGGCCTTAGGCTGGGCTGGCTCCTTCAGCACAGCACAGCGATCAGCGGTGCGCTGTGTCCCTCGGACACAGCAGATCACCGATCCACAGAAACAGCCGAAGATGTCAGCTCGGTCATGTGATCAGCTGTGTCCAATCACAGCTGATCACATGTAAACAGGGAAATGCCGGTTATCGGCATTTCTCTCCCCACGAGCTGTCATGCTGACAGCTCGAGAGGAGAGACAGTAATCGGCATTCCTCAGAGGGGACATCTACACGGATCATCAGAGCACTGATGATCAGTGTGCCCTAATGATCTGTGTAGCCCCAGCAGCCCCACCTGTCAGTGTCCATCAGTGCCAGCTCTCAGTACTCATCCATGCCACCTGCCAGTGCCCATCAGTGCCACATCAATGCCACATATCAGTTCCCATCTGATATGCCTTTCAATGCCACCCATCAGTGCCAGTCAGTGCCACCTATCAATGCCAGTCAGTGCCGTCTATTAGTGTGCATCAGTGCCGCCTATCAGTGCTGCCTTTCAGTGCCCATCAGTGATGCCTGTCAATGCCACCTACCAGTCTCCATCAGTGCCCATCACTGCAGCCATATTAGCGCACATCAGTGAAGGAGAAAAATCACTTATTTACAAAATTTTAAAACAAAAACTAAGAAAAAATGTTTCTTTTTTTTCAAAATTTTCAGTGGTTTTTGGTTTAAGAAAAAAATAAAAAACCCAGAGGTGATTAAATACCACCAAAATAAAGTTCTATCTGTCACAAAAAAATGATAAAAATTTCATATGAGTACAGTGTCGCATGACCGCGCAATTGTCATTCAAAGTGCAACAGTGCTGAAAGCCGGAAATTGGCCTGGGCAGGAAGGGGGTATAAGTGCCCCGTAGGCAAGTGGTTAAGGTCTCACCTACATCCAGGGGGTGAGTGTCATCGACTTCCGAGGCTCTAAATGTTGGCAGGACTGTGACGTCACCACCACGGTACTGCGCATGCGCCGGACCCCAGGACACCTGTGCGAGCGCTGCTATCTTGCCGTACTGCACATGCGTGAAGCCAAGCCTTGTTCCGAGACCGACTTGCTGATGTGCAGTACGCTGGAGACCCGAACATGGGTACTGCGTACCAACCCCAAACGGCCACAACCGGAGACCGCCTCGTCTGATTGGGCACTACATGGCCAATCTGCTTGCCCGCCATTGGCAGACCTGAGCTCTTCCAGGCACTGAATCTTGTTTGCTCATTTCCACCCCTCTATTAGCTGGGGAACACTGGAATTTGATGAGGGAACCCGGCTCCGCATCCATCTGCCGCACCCTATACCCCGCCTTTAGCTGGGGAACACTGGAATTTGATGAGGGAACCCTGCACCGCACTCCCGGCTCCACACCCATCTGCCGCGCCCTATACCCTGCCTTTAGCTGGGGAACACTGGAATTTGATGAGGGAACCCTGCTCCGCATCCATCTGCCACGCCCTCCAATACCCCGCCTTTAGCTGGGGAACACTGGAATTTGATGAGGGAACCCGGCTCCCGCATCCATCTGCCGCACCCTATACCCCGCCTTTAGCTGGGGAACACTGGAATTTGATGAGGGAACCCTGCACCGCACTCCCGGCTCCACACCCATCTGCCGCGCCCTATACCCCGCCTTTAGCTGGGGAACACTGGAATTTGATGAGGGAACCCTGCTCCGCATCCATCTGCCACGCCCTATACCCCGCCTTTAGCTGGGGAACACTGGAATTTGATGAGGGAACCCTGCTCCGCATCCATCTCCGCCACGCCCTATACCCCGCCTTTAGCTGGGGAACACTGGAATTTGATGAGGGAACCCTGCTCCGCACTCCCGGCTCCGCATCCATCTGCCGTGTCCAATACCCCGCCTTTAGCTGGGGACCCTCGTCACCTCGCATCTCCCGGAAAGGCTTGCCAGGCCTTGGTCACCGGCCATCTTGTATCCAGGAACCAGGTAAGACTTGCACTAGGTCCATAGGAGGAGGACACAGAACACGGCCTCTGGTGAGGAGCAAAGATTTGTGGGAGTGGGGTCCTATAGGAGAGGGCGGGACTAACCCACACGTATGCTGCCATGGAGTCTGTCAGGAAAGGCATGATTATTCAGGCTCCATGCACACTCCATGCACACTCGTACTTTTCAGAGCTTGAAAAACACTAGAAAAAAAACTGCTGATTGAAACACGCTGATAAGCTTTTTCTGCGGGCTTGTAGTGTTTAGAAGTATTAGCGTTTTATTAGCATTTTTACAATACGTGAAAAACACAGCTCGGTAAAAGCTGCCAGGAGTGTTTTAGTCGCATTCAGAAAGTGTTTAAGAGAGTTCAGTTTTTTTCTGCCTGGAAAACGCTCCCAAAAACTCTACAAAACAAGTTTTTTTTCTGCTCCTAAACACTGAAGCATGAAAAACGCTTCCAGCATAAAATGGTGTGCATGGACACACAAGAGAACACTTGGCTTCTAGGAGCAGAAAAAAATACTAATAGCAGCTTCGAGGAGCTTCAAAAACCGTCAGTGTGCATGGAGCTCAGAGTGATAGCAGTAGGATAGAAATGACTGAATACAATCAGGAGATGAATATATGATTTTACATTTGTTGTGACTTAGGTATGCTGAAAGAACATGAAAAGACTGGTGAGAGTATTGCACTGGAATGAGCTTTCACAGTAAGTAATGGGTTAAACTCTCTAGGGGGCGGTACAGTGCGGCGTTTACTCTAGTGGGCGGTGCATCCTTCAGTGGGCGGTACAGACTTCGGGATTACGGATTTGGTCTATGGGCGGTACAGGACGGTTCGGCCTCTAGTGGGTGAACAGGGCAGTGGATCTTCAGTCGGCGGTAAAGGTGGTGAGGCCACGAAAGGGCGGTACAGGACGCAGCGGCGTCTGATGGGCGGTACGGGGCGGCGTGGCCTCTGATGGGCGGTGGGCGGGTGCGGCCTCTGATGGGCGGTACGGGGCGGCGCGGCGCGGTCTCTGATGGGCGGTACACGGGGCGGCGTGGCCTCTGATGGGCGGTACAGGGTGGTGCGGTCTCTAGTGATAGGTAGTTCCGGGTTAGGAGGCGGGGCGTACAGTGTGAATGTCCTGTTTCGCTGTCAGGGATGGTATCCGGGTGACGGGACGGCTGTGTATTGAATTGGTCGGGGGCTCGGTTGTGACACGATGAGAGCGGGGTGTGTGCGGGGCCTGGGGCTGATATGGAATGGTGAGGAGTGAAGGGATCGGAGTCCTGCAGGCAGGGAGCTCTAGGTGCGGAGTGTGATCTGTCCGCCTGCCTGTCCTTGTATCGGGAGCTCGAATTCCGGGGAAGGGGCAGACTGTCCGCTCAGTTGGCGGGGATCAGGGCGGCCATTCCTGCATACGGCTGCAGGATCATGGGATCAGAGAGCAGCTCTCTGAGGGGATTCACCCTCCAGGATCCCCCGTGGAGCCAGCCCTCTGGGCTCACCATATACCCGGCTCTCCTCCAGGATGGACGCCTGGCCTCAGTCTTCGTCTATCAGCTGGAGAACCAGGAGAAGGTGGATAAAGCCGCTAAGGTATGAGATGGGACATCACTGGAGCTGTCATGTATCTACTGACAAAGGTGACCGTCCAATCATCATGGCTCAGCTGGTCACTGCTGGGGGGGGGGGGGGGGCAGAGACATCCAGGCTTTGGCAGCTCTGTATGGGAGAGAGGTGCAGGGTCACCATACCATCTGATTGTACAGTGTGCTGTCCATGTTCTATAAGGACATGTGCTGGAATAGAGAGAACATAGGATTGTCCTTCTATGACATCGTCCAGGAAGTGTAACTGAGATTGTGCAATCAGATTGTAAGATCTACAGCAGCATTATATCCAAAGGACAAAATAAAATGGCAGTATGTGGAGGTTTACTTGTTGTATTAGCAAGCTGCACTGAGCTATGATTTCAGACAAATGGAGGTCATTGTGAAAGAGGGGGCGACATTCGTGTCTGTGTGACTGCAGTAATAACCCCCCCCCCCGACGTTTGGTGTCTGTGACTGCAGTAAATAACCCCCCCCGACGTTGTGTGTCTGTGACTGTAGTAATAACCCCCCCGACGTTGGTGTCTGTGACTGTAGTAATAACCCCCCCGACGTTGGTGTCTGTGACTGTAGTAATAACCCCCCCCCCCGACGTTGGTGTCTGTGACTGTAGTAATAAAACCCCCCCGACGTTGGTGTCTGTGACTGTAGTAATAAACCCCCCGACGTTGGTGTCTGTGACTGTAGTAATAACCCCCCCGACGTTGGTGTCTGTGACTGTAGTAATAACCCCCCCCCCCGACGTTGGTGTCTGTGACTGCAGTAATAACCCCCCCCGTTGGTGTCTGTGACTGCAGTAATAACCCCCCCCGACGTTGGTGTCTGTGACTGCAGTAATAACCCCCCCCCCCCGGCGTTGGTGTCTGTGACTGCAGTAATAACCCCCCCGACGTTGGTGTCTGTGACTGCAGTAATAACCCCCCCCGACGTTGGTGTCTGTGACTGCAGTAATAAACCCCCCCCGACGTTGGTGTCTGTGACTGCAGTAATGACCCCCCGGCGTTGGTGTCTGTGACTGCAGTAATGACCCCCCCCGGCGTTGGTGTCTGTGACTGCAGTAATGACCCCCCCGGCGTTGGTGCCTGTGACTGCAGTAATGACCCCCCGGCGTTGGTGTCTGTGACTGCAGTAATGACCCCCCGGCGTTGGTGTCTGTGACTGCAGTAATGACCCCCCGGCGTTGGTGTCTGTGACTGCAGTAATGACCCCCCGGCGTTGGCCCTGGTGGTCTGGTGTCTGTGACTGCAGTAATGACCCCCCCGGCGTTGGTGTCTGTGACTGCAGTAATGACCCCCCGGCGTTGGCGACCCCCCGGCTGTGACTGCAGTAATGACCCCCCCCGGCGTTGGTGCCTGTGACTGCAGTAATGACCCCCCGGCGTTGCAGTGACCCCCCGCGTTGGCGTCTGTGACTGCAGTAATGACCCCCCCCGGCGTTGGTGTCTGTGACTGCAGTAATGACCCCCCGGCGTTGGTGTCTGTGACTGCAGTAATGACCCCCCGGCGTTGGTGTCCTGTGACTGCAGTAATAACCCCCCCCCCCCCGGCGTTGGCGACTGCAGTAATAACCCCCCCCCGGCGTTGGTGCCGCGGGGCGACTGCAGTAATAACCGCCCCCCCCCGTGCGTTGCGTTGGTGTGTGGGCGACTGCAGTAATAACCCCCCCCCCCCCCCGGCGTTGGTGTGTGGGGACTGCAGTAATAACGCCCCCCCCCCCCCCCGGCGTTGGTGTCGGGGGGACTGCAGTAATAACGCCCCCCCTCCCGGCGTTGGTGTCGGGGACTGCAGTAATAACGCCCCCCTCCCGGATGACCCCCCCGCGTTGGTGCCGGGGACTGCAGTAATAATGCGCCCCCCCCCGGGTTGGTGCCGGGGACTGCAGTAATGACCCCCCCTCCCGGGGTTGGTGCCGGGGACTGCAGTAATGCCCCCCCCCCGGGGTTGGTGCCGGGGACTGCAGTAATGCCCCCTCCCGGGGTTGGTGCCGGGGACTGCAGTAATGCCCCCTCCCGGGCCGTTGGTGCCGGGGGACTGCAGTAATGC